TCCTACAAACAACATGCTAACTACACTTGCCCATTTTGCTTTCATCTGCCAACAAAGTGAAAAAAACATGTCAAGTTTGTCTTTATAATCCAAACTACATTAAAAGTTTGATCATTTTACTGAAGTGCATGTGACAACAACAAAGAAGAAAGCAGCATTGCAGCTACTATTTCAAAATAAATTTCTAAGTCCAAAGAAATGTAATAATCCTTAGTGATAACAGATAATAAATATGAAAATTATGTATTTTGGAATGTAGGACTGAACTCATCTCTCAGCTACAGCCTGGTTTTTAAATCACCTGTGATTGTTTCACACTTGCAGAGAGCTGCACACGTGCCAAGACTCACATCTGTCACACCTGACAGTCACAAGGAATTAATGTTGCTTGAATTTCTCATTAATATGCCAAACCACAGGATTAACATACAGAAAAGTTATGCATATTGCTTACCTGTAGAGACATACTCCTGCATAGGTTCAAATGAAAAAGAAGTTGCACTACATTGTTAATATATGAATTCTAAGTGCTTAGAAACAGGCAGGTTTTCTCAAGTCCAGCCTTGATTTCAGAACACTCAAACCTTCCTAGAGATGCTAACAAGGACATAATTGAAACTGTTGAAGTATCTGAGACTATCTCAGGAGCTCTGACATTTGTAGCAGATAATAGCTCAAATGTAAGGGTAAAACACTGATTATTCATTTTTGAAATATATACAGGAACCTTCCAAATCAATCACATAATCAATCATATCTCAGACTGGACTCTTAATCTTCTTGTAAATACAGTCATTGAAAGAGATGAACCATCTTAATCAGATCTTTTCTCCAGCACAAAATTACTACCGTCACTGGCACTGACACAAAAATGACTAATTTCAGCTAGAATCTGTAACAACTACTAAAAAAAGGTTACACTGCCCAAATACATAGACAAAGTAAAGTTCAAGGCCTATTTATAGGAAATGCAAGTCATTAGCTGACTACCCATAAAAGTCAGTGAATCACTAATTCCTACAGTAAGGCAGACAAAGACGTTCCACCTCAACACCTATTACTACAACAACATCTGTCAATTTTTGGATGACTCAAAAAAGACATGATGTGTCACCCCTAGAATATTCATGAGATGACAGACAGTCTCCAATTCCCTCTAAAACTCCAAATAGGAAAAAACTGCACTACTACTTCTCAAACAGTCTTGTATCCATTTGGATGTCCATATTTGCAGGAGTCCAGAAAAAAGAAACGGAAGCCAAACTGTAAAGAATCCATGCAGTCTTCCCCAAAATTCAGTGTATTCATGAAGCAAGCACTGAGAAAAAGCACAGAAGTGAGGCCACAACCTAAAGCTGACGTCTCACCTCTCACTCATTAAACAACACTGGTCATGGGTGAAGAGAATCACAACTGAAAGCCTCCAGAAAGTCTTCCTCTCAAAGGAATAGTGCCAATAAGAGGCATATTTCCTTGAGGTGAACTGTATAGTGAATGATATAAACCAGTATTTGTAAAACAGCACTCCAGACTCCTCAAAACCATAAAAACCTCAAAAAAACTTTTGCTTCTGAAAAACTGGAAAGGAGATTGAAATTACAAAATGAATTTTGTACAACATGCAAAAGCAAGCATGTCCTCATATTTGACAACTATTTCTGATTTTTAAATCTAATAACTTTTTTTTTCCCAGTTATAAAGGACAATTTACATGCTGACAATTTTAACACTAACCTCCTACATCAGAAAATATTTGTGGTATTTTGTAATATTTTCTAAAACCAGAAAAAAAAAACATCAAAACCACACTAAATATTCTAAAAGTTGCATCACTGAGACTTTCCTGTTTACAATGCTGCCCAATTACACATTTTTTTTTAGCAACTTTTTTTCAAGAAAATTAAACTTCAATTACAGCTCTGCACCAAACATGTTAACAGCAAACTGCAGAACTCACACGGCACTGCTTAGCTGCCCTAGGTAGGGGCATTTTGGCATCTTGTGTTGTCCACATCAAATGTAAAGGCTTGCTTTGATTTTCCTCAAGAATGAGATAGATTGTTTTTTACTAAGCATGATACTACTACTACTACTTTTTTAGAAAGGAATAGATGTACCAGTTTTACACCAAGAAGTTGGAACCAAAGGAAGCTGTTAGGCCAGCAAAGTTTTGCTGTTTGTCAGCCTGGAGTAACATGAGGCTTCCAATGACCTTCCTTGTACCACGAGACAAATTTATGGAGATAGAAATCTCACATCTGTACCTCGACATATTGGGAGGTACATTACAGTGATATAAAAGTTTAATTTTCTCTCCTAAACCATACCTGTTTAAACCAATAAAGAACTAACACCGCTGTTACTCGCTCAAGTGTCGTCAGCAGTTATAAAACGTTGTACTGTTTATGCAGAATCCATTTGGCATGCAAGGATGTGACTTACAAATGTCTTTGACTCATTCACATAAATATGCATGCATGCCATTTATAACAGTAGCCTTGATGAGAACACACAGTGTAACTGGCTGCAGGAAACGCTTAAGAGGTTTACATTAAAACAGAATATGGAGCGGTGGTGAGAAATCACAGACCAGGTGACACCTCACTCTGATAACCTGGTGATAAAAACTGTAGGGTATGATCTATAGGTTGTGGCGTTACCACTTTACTATACAGCCTGAACAGCATTCTTTAGATACCCCTGAGTTTGAGCAAGACATAATACCCATGGCAGACTACATATAGAAGTTGTGAATCATCTCAAAAAATAATTGTGATCGCCTCCCAAATTGTTCAGTCAAAAACAAAGTTATTTAGACTTTATTTTGTATTGGAATATTGGTAATACAAACCTTTTAAAAGTGTAAGTACTTCTTGGTTTGACAGAGTAATTTGCTTCACAGAATCCCAGCATGGTGGGGTTTGGAACAAACCTCCAGAGATAATCTTGGCCAAACTCCCCTGCTCCAGCAGGGTGGCCCAGAGCAGGCTACCCAGGATTTCATCCAGGTGGGTTTGGAATCTCTCCAGAGAAGGAGACTCCACCTCTCTGGGCAGCCTGGCCCCAGGCTCCACCACCCTCACAGGAAAGAATTTTCTCCTTATGTTTAGATGGAACTTCCTGTGTTCCAGTTTGTGCCAAATGCCCCTTTTCCTATTGCTGGGCACCACTGACAAGAGTCTGACCCCATCCTATTGACCTCTGCCCTTCAAATATTGAGAAGCATTGACCAGATCCCCTCTCAATCTTCTCTTCTCCAGGCAAAACAGCCCCAGGGCTCTCAGCCTTTCTTCAGTAGAGATCCTCCAGCCCTCTCAGCATCTTTGTCCAATGAGCTAAAGGAAACATTAAGCAATCTACACATATGCATCATATTGGACAATTCCATGGGGCCTTCATTAGTTGCTGAGGCCAAATAAGACCTTCCCCAACACAGCCAGCTCTGGTGCCAAACAGCTACTTCATAGATACCTTCCACGAGCTGACAATTATTCCAGACTTTTTCTATCAACATACAATTGCATCCATCCTACAGATATCTGTGGCATCCTACACTGCCAAGTAGGCTCAAGCTTCTATGGCCACTCTTCTAGCAGTGACTTAAGTACTGTTACAGAGAAGAAAACCAGAATCTATCACACAGACCAGACATGTCCAACAGTGTGCTGTAAACCAGAATTTCTTAAGAGTAGCACACATGTAAAAAGCAGAACTTGTCCATCAACAAAGAACAAAGCAGTGAAGACTTCACAGTGATATTTAAATGAATGATACACAAATATCACTGAGACAACAAAATGGCCTCACCACACAATACTGCTTTTTTAAATAGAGCTAATATTTACTTCAGACCTACAGGTTACTACATTAAAAACCCACATGGAGCAGATGGAAAGGCTGCTTGCCAGAAAAAGAAAAGATTAAAAAAAAAAACCCAAAACCTCAGTCTTTTAAAAGCCACTTGAACTGTTGGAAACAACTGAAAATTAAAACCTCCCACCCTTTGCAGATATATTCTTGATGGTCTCCAAAAGCATCCACCACCAACTCCTCTGCTAGAACTATGATCCCTAGCTCACCTCAGGAGTTACACTGAAAACCACGTTATCACTGCCCATGGTTCAAGTAAAGGGGCTGAGGTGGACATTTTTTATCCTGGAATCAAAAAGGTGTCTTTGTTGTAATTACTTTCTGTGGCTGAAGTAGTGGAGAACACATGGCTGCTGTCTGAGATGTTAGATCATGAACCTGCAGCCTGTGTGTGGCTCAGTGTAACATGACAGGGCTTCATGGTATCTTCTCAGCTGGTCAAGTTGCAAATAGAAGCCTGTGGTCTCTACAGATCTACAAAATGATGCCAAGAGAACAAGGACACGATTTCACACCAGTTGCCCTGTTTGTACAAGTCTGTGATGGAACAATGGGGAAAGAATTACATTTTTTAAAAAATTTAATATTAAACTGGACACGTGGCACAATTTTGCTTCTTTCAGAAAAACCCAGTTCATTATTAAATATCCACCTATGAATGGTAGATGCACTCGTGGCATTAATTAGTAACTCAAATTGAAAACACTATCTGCCTGCAACTCCAGGAAGAGTGAAATGCAGATCTTCTCAACCTACCAAAATGCAGAGTCGTCCTTTTGGACAGACATCACTCCACGTCTCCTCTGCCAAGTCTGGGAAAGGTACAGCTACATACCACTCAAATTCTCTTCCTCATTTCCTAGCACTTATCACAATGCAGCTATTACAAGCTGCATTGGTAATACAATGAAATTTTTTTCAAAGTATTCAAGTAGTATAATTTCCAATTCTTTTTTTTCTTATTTCCCTTTTTTTGAGGGAGGGGGAATTTCATAGTCACTGACAATGTAACACAAATAAAACTAACATGAAATTGTTAACAGGATGATTCCTACTGAATGATATCTATTATCTTAAGGTTCCCAAGCCTTTCCTTTTTGGAAGATGGGTATTAGAAAAGCGAAGCTTACCTGCAGAAGCACTGTGGGATTTCCCCTTGCCCATACAGAGGAAACAGAAATGGTGTATTGCCATAGCGGCCAAGGCACCGAAGGAATTTTTTTGTTGCCTGAAGCCCCTCAAGAGTGGTGCATTCAGTCTCTGAAACCATTGCAATGGAGTGAAGGATGAAGTGCTGCAAGCTGGGTGTTAACTTCCGTGTTTGTAAGAACTGAGCGAAGGTGCTGTTCTCATAGTCTGAGGAAAAAGTAAGTTTAGGTAAAGGGTATAGAATAACATTTGTAATTTCTCATACACTTCAACTTAAATGAGTACTTTAGTAGTTAAATAAACAAAAACAACTGAGTTTTTCAACAAACACCTTGCTGAAAATTGATACTCTAAGTCAACAAAAGTTAAACAACTTACCCCCAGAAAGTGAGTTCTCAGAATACTGAAATATCATTCCATTAAAATATTTACCAATAACTCAAACCCACTGTATGCTTCTCCAACAGTCTAGAGAGCAACCTCTAAATATACCTTCATCTATTCATTATGTTAGACCTGATCTGAGCCCATTTCTCAATCATGTGAAATAAGTGAGCAGCTGCAGACAAAAATCCACTGAAGTGTCTTGGGATGCAGTTTCCTGTAAATTACCCAAAATATTACACCTGAAAGACACCCATTCATGAATAGTACTGTTGGATCCATGCTGATAGGTTTAGTGTATATTTAAGTGCAGAGAAGCCATTCACATGATGTCTTAATCCAAAGATAAGAAGGCCCAACACTTATTTCAAATTGATGACTTGCTCGCAACAGCCAAGTATGGATGAGACACACAGGAGCAGGGATGAATTAGCAGATCTTACCTTTAAATTAGTACTAGAACTTATATGTTTTAAATTCAAAGAATTACAAGTCTTTCAGAAGGTGTTTAATGTGTGTCACATGTCACTGAAAAACTAGTTATCTTAACCACTAATCTTTTTTTTTCCCCCAGGAAAAGACAGTATTTAAGCAATAGCATACTTCTTCCCTACTATTCAGGAATCTACTCCTAGTCTTACTTCAGTCATGGATAAATTCACAGGTACTTTAGAAACAATTCCATCAATGCTGAGACTAGCATTATCAAGCTCTATATTCCATTCAAGATTCAACCACTGTTTTATTACAAATGTATCTTACTATCCCCTTTGTACAGCCATGCAGCAAGTCATGAAATGACAAAGGGGTTTTGTCTTATCATTCTAAAAAACATTCTCAAGTTTCTCCTCAATTCAGGCTTCTTTCGTAACTCCAAATGTACAGAAAAAAGAGCTTTAAAAAAATTCTTCACTGCCATGAACTCTTCCTATTGAAAAAAAAAGTCTGCCTTCCCACGAACATAATGATCTCACCAAGAGCAATTTTAAATTTCTGAAGCCTTTACATTAGACTAATCTGGTTCAAAATATTCCCAATTACTTCACAGGCTATTTTAAAATGCAGGAACAAAACCTCTTTATCTCTAGAAGTAAAATAAATCTAATGTCATTTAGGTACATGAATCAATGGATTCATTTAAAATTGATGTGGCATCTCCCTTTTTTACTTAATAAATTTCCTACACACCACCTATATTCTCACTCTGAGCACCTCCATTTCTTCCAGTAGCAGCAAACCTGAAATTACCTGTAATCTGTAAACCACCTCAGTCTAATGAGCTTTCCCCCCTTCAGGGTTTAATGAAGTTCATTACAGATTATTTCTCCTGATCTTAGTAGAACATTCTCAACAGTGACCAATTCTTTCTTGCATATGTATAAAATAATTTCCTCTAATGTTTGTACCTCATCTAAGGGTCCTGTTCAAGTAATCAAACCTGTATATTAACAATTGCTTCTTTTTAACACTATATTTCTTGTAAAATACTGTCTAGCCAAGTGACTGTCAAGCTACAAAATCACTGATATGCTTCAGTCTGAAACTTGGTTGAATCTTAACTATTCCTCTCTCATTATTTCTTTTTGACAGATTTCTCGTTTTGCCTCAGTTTACTTATAGACTCCAAGAACTGAGAATATCACTTCATTCTTTGTACCCCGAGGTTCATAAACCCAAAGCACCTTCCTTCTAATAGCCACTTTTCCTCTTTGACCTGTTGCTCATTATTCTTCATACATTATGGCTCAGATCTATTCACATATTCTCTCATCTAAATAAGCCAACAGTCGATAATGGCACTTTGAACTTGCCCTCTGCAACTAAAAGACATTCAATTACATTTACTTAAAAGTTTAAAAGTTCCATTTTCCCCATTTCTGATTTTGTGGCAACATATTGTGAAGATTTACATATTATCCCAAGAAGCAGGGAAGAAGAGTCAGATCCATCACACCATATTAAAAAAAGCCCTGGAAGGCGGCAGGAAACATCTAAAAATTCTAAAAAACATTTTGCAACCTTGGTGCAATATGTGATTTTGCTGTTAAAGAAAAATGTAAACAATAAATGATGTGGGAACTAGAAGAGCAAGTGCTTAAGTAGAAGAACATGACGTTGAAGTGAAAAGGTCATGAAAAGGTCAAAGCATACTTTGAAAATGAATCCATAAAAATAAATTGTGTGAAAACACAGGAGAGCTATCAAAATTGTGCATAACTGAACTCCCAAGAAGAGAGTGTACACTGTTCAGTGAAACACTACCTTGGTATTCATCAGGGTGTTGTTCATAATCCAAACAAAATGTCAAAAATTTCATTAGCATTCTCTTTTCCACCATAGTGAGCTGTCTGCTGTTGAAGACATCTGCTCTAGAACAAGGGACCTGGAAAATAGTTTTTAGCATTTCAGATACTTCCCATACTCTGGATGTAAAAAGTAACAAGCAACACCACAGTTTAACTACCCAACAAATATTTTAAATTACTACTTTCTATTATAGTTATTTCCTTACACATTTCTTTCCATTATTTTCTACTATAACTATAATAAAAGTTACCAATTTTCCACAACAAAAATCTTTTTAAAACTTCTTCAGCCTCTTCCCCTTTTTATTTCCCTTCAATTTCACTTGCAGCTCTGACTGCAGTGTTAATTGTATTAATTAACTGTGCCAAAATCTCCTGTTGCTACAATGGCACCAATGACTTATCCTGTAAGTAGCAGAGAGGCAAATCAAGTCGATGTTATGAATGTGAAAAACTGAAACCCGTGAATATTTGAGAATTAACTGCCAACTTGAACATCATCTAAGTATTTGACATGAGGCAAAGATTTCTGTCAATAATTTACTGGACTCTACATTCTTATTTTAGGTTGTTTGTCTGTTTGCTTTTCCATAAAAAACATTTGTAAAACAAATACCTTTTCATTCCAGAAATGAAATAAAAATCAGAATCTTAAGGAAAAATACCAGCTTATTGTTGCAGACCTCTCAAGAAAGCAATTTTAAGCTTCTTGACTTTAAAAAGATGACATCATACATACATAATACATTATTTTATGATACCTGTTCTACTTTTCCTTCTCGAAAGGCAAGAATTCGTGTTGCATTTTTGAACTCTGCATATCTGCTAACGTTGGACTTAATCAGCAGTTCAATCAACAGACCTCGGGAGTAAAGCAACTGCATGGTGAGGAACAGAAGAGAAAACAGTGAGTGAAGGGAAAGTGCTTACACCAAAGAAAGCAGTGATACCAACAGTGTTCACTGGTAAGCTGCTTCCTAGAACTATTTACAAGTACACAGCGAAGTAAACTCAGAATAAAGGAATATCAAGATGTAGTATGTGCACAGGAATATTCAATTAACTGAAGCAACCATCCAGTTGGAGGAGATAAAGCAGTTCACAGGAGAGAAAGGGAAAAGGTGTCACCCCGCTGCTCATTTAGTTTTACTAGTCTTTTTTGCATTGTCATCTTCAACAATTTCTTTGTATTGTATGCCACATATCCTCAAACACCATATTTTATAATCTTCATTTCCCAATATCAGTGAAGCATATGCCACTGTGTAAACCATCACTAGTTGTTTCTTAAGTTACCTGAAATGATAATGTCACATTTTCTAAATATGAATTCCTTAAATCTCAATTAAGGTTTTATCATATTCTGATATACTGATACAAATCTCTCTACTTTTTCTGTAAGCTACAAACACATGAAATCTGAAGGGACATTAAGGTAACTATTAACTAAAAACACATGCATTGGAAAGGACTTTAAACATGCTTTAAACCCTAATTAACACCATGTAAAACAATGGCACAGAGTAAGTATAAAAAGGATACAAAATAACATTATCTGCTTAATCACTATACACTGACTATTGTTTTCATGACAACATTCCAATGATGCAGGAAAGAGTTATCTAAATCTGGAACATGGAGACAATACTTGAAAGAATACATTTTGTAGTGTCCCCACAAGAATTTAATAAAATATTGAAGTTTTATTTCCAGAAGTTTGAGAAATCTTTTTATGCAGAACATGAAAAATTAAGCATTCAACTTTGAAAAAACTTCCCATTGCAGAGCAGATATAGTCTAAAGCACAGAAATTAAGAAAAACTTCCATTTAACCTGAATTTGCAAGGCCATATCCATATACTGTGAACTATGTAAAAGGCAGATTTTAAACAGTATGACAAAAATGACAGACTAATAAGTTTTCCTCAAAGTAAAATGCACACTAGTAGGATTTCAACACAATAATAACTAATGTTAGTCAGCTTTTATGTTATGGATTAATGGCAACTATTTTTTTTTCCCCAATAAACTGTATTATAAATCAGTGCTTTAGGCTGAGTATAGAAAGACCATGAGAGTTGCACAACAAAATCTAAAACCCAGGAACTTCATCAGGAAGATTATTTTTCATTTTAAGAACATCAAAGATCAGCACGTAGATTGATTTTCCTTGTTTAAAAATATAAATTTTTTAATGGTACTATTTAAAAAGAGCAATTTTGCAGGACTACTTAAAGTGCTAAATTTCAGAAAATTTACTTCTATGTACATGTTTCTGAGCCATGTTTTATGGTCTCTGGTTATAAACAAACACTAAAGAGCACAAATAAAATAACTTGTGTTTGTTTTAAGGGTACTAACTCTTGCTTACTTCTCAAGAGTGTTTGATGGTTTTTCTTCTCTCAAAGGAACTGTATCAGTCCTCTTCATTGTTAAAGATTTTTTTTTTTAAATTTCAGCTTTTTAATCAAAGTAAATGTACTTACATGAACACTCAGTTCTTACCTTGGAAACTAAATCAATATTAAACCTTCTGCCTTCTCTAACAACTTGGGAATATGTAATTTTCTTTGGTTCTTGGGCAGGAATTTCTGAGGGTTCAGCTTCAGATTTTCCTGATTCTGGAGTGGACTCATCTAAATCCGGGCTAGAAGAACTTTCCTCCTGAGAGGGTGTTTCTGTCTCAGCCCCTGCTGCTGCACTTGCTGGCTCGGTGCCTGTGGCCTGTTGGGGTTCCTGGCTCTCTGCTGGTGGACACCCTTCCTCCGATCCCTGAGCAACCTCCTGGGCACCAGAGGCTCCAAAGATGGGCAGCTTCGGCAATGCACCAGCTTCTTCAACATCTTCAGCAGAATCCTGACTGAGTATAAACACAAGGGGAAGAAGGGCAAAGTCTTTTAAAGAGTCTTAAAAACCTGTTTAAAGTTTTGAGTCAGCGCCAGAATGGAAACCTCAAGCGTTTCTACAAAAAGCATTAGAATTTCTTTATCCTGGCCAAATCAGGTGTACAACCCACTACAGAATTCTAGTTCTTTGACTGCAAAGCTGTAATTCAAGAGGAGAATTTTTATTGAGGGCGGAAAAAAAGGGAGGTTTCTTATTTTACACAGACTCAAAACCCAGAATGAACTTAAAATGAAAATCGAAACTCTGATGGTGAAACAATACACAGCTACAGAAACAAAAGAAAGGTAATATTTCAAAAAAGAAAGAGCAAGGCAATTTGGTTAGGTTTTTCCTATGGATTAAAAAACTCTTTGAAATTGAAATGCGAAAATGCATTGAAGTCACTCAGCTCAGATGTTTTAAAGCCCAAACTCACTGAAGAAAGCAGACGTGCTTTACAGGACTGAGACTGCCTTGCATCTGTCATCACAGGGATTCTGTGAGGGACACATCCAGTTCTGACCTGGGCTTCACATAAAACTTTCTGATTATTTTGTCAACTCTGCCCTCACGTTCTAATGAGTTCTTCAAGTAACAGCCATACAGAATAAAGTTCTCTCCTGGACCAGTGTTATTTTATCCAAGTGTTACAAATCTGTGCAGAGCAGATGAAGGCAGCCAGTCAGAAGGAGGGACCTTACCACACAACACCTACTCTGTATAGTCTGTTTCCTTTCCACAACATCGTTCTTTAAAATTCCTCTTTTAAAGCAGACCTCCACTTTTAATCTCATCTACTCTTTTTATCTTGAACTTCAATGACATCTACCTTAGAAACTACACTTTTGAGCTTAGAATTTTAGTTTATACTACCAGCTGAGATGAATCAAATCAACACTGCTGTAAGTGAAAGGAGTTCAGCACTAATTTCATGCTATCCTTTTATCTTTACACCACAAGCCATTAATGCACTGAATAAACAATCTAATCATTGTTGAAAACTAACGAACTATGATTTTAAAGGCGACCTGCAAACATGCACTACAAAATTTCAGTAACTAACAGGATGGTTAAAATTCACTGAACAGCAAGGAATTGTTCAGTATACACATAAAAGTTCTCCCTCACACATCCGTAGCCTTGCAGAGGGAAGCAGGGGGGAGGATTTCTGTTAAAAGAAGGAACAAAACTCCTGTATCCTTTAAAAGTTGCTCCTCAGTTATGAACTCAGGGAGCTCACATGGTCTCATGAAAGTAAGAGTGTGGAATCAGTCTCAGCTTGTGCACAGCCACCAGGAAGCACTTATTCATGAATGGGGTAAAATATTGCCCAGGGAAATACAGGAACTGCTCTAACGAAGCACTAATGAAAGAAGTCTGGTTCTACACATTAATTATGGTTTTTTTGCTCCATATCACAAGCATTAGATAGCGATGAAGTATCAAAGAAAAATAAGTACTTAGCCAAATGTTTTTAAAAAAAGTAATCTCTACTTTTTTAATACAAAATGCAAATGAAAGTAAATAGAATTTTGGGGGTTCTGTTGGGATTTGGGGTATTTTCCTCTCTTTTTTTTCACCTAGGAATTTGGACCATAGTGCTTGTCAAAACTGCAAAAGCTGTTACCATTAACACAGTAACTAAGAATGAAATTTAACCCATTTATTGTTTTATAAAATAAAGGTTTTTATAAACCCTTTTATTTAACCCATCCTAAAGCTTTTTATAACACAAAAATTCAGAGGCAAGTTTTCTGTCTACCTTATCCTAAGCTCATTGTACTGTTCAATGTCGTTTTAACCATAACTTGATTATTACCTTTAAAATCAAAATAAAATTTGGATTCACAGTATGTATATTCTACACAGGTATATTTTCTATAGGACTCTGAAAAGGAGTGTAACAGGAATGTTACGTTACATATTTTAAATCTCTGTTCAAAATCTGCATGATTTGCAGCTCTATACATTTTGTAATGAAAGCCTAAAAACTGTATATAACCCAAACTCATGACATCCTTCCTATAGGAACAAATATCCCTGAATAATGTAAGAACTGTCTATAAAAATGACTCAAATTGAACTTCTGCACAGACAATTCTTCTCCTAATTCCGAAAAAAATAATACATCTGCAGACAAATTATTGTGTAAATTTAGAATATTATCTTCCACCATTCATCAATTAATGGTACTAACAAAGGAATATCTTAAAATGAATGTGTCTTATTAATGCCTTGTAACAGCAACCCCTTCAGATAGGTCAAATGAAAAATTGCCAACCAGCTGGTTAATTTATTCAGCCCAGGTGTTCACTATTTATTTTTCAGCCATTTGCCTTTTTTCAATCCAGCTTGTTGTAGACACAGTATTCTTTTCCTTTGATGGATGCACTTTGTTCTAAGGCCATTCATTTCAGATTTGCACTGGGTATATTATACTGCTACCCAGCTGTTTATTCTTTCAAAATAAATGTTTAATGGTTACTTCATAGGAGTTATAAAAGTTAAGCAAAAACAACAGAATGTAGCCAGAACATGTAAATTGTCAGAAACACAATAACTGACTCTCTCAAAGTTCTATCTTATTTTGGAAAACTTGTTCTTTGCTAGTTTTATTAGTTTTACCATTCTTCCTTGTGGGTTCAGGGTTTTTTTTGTGACAATCAAGAGAGCCAGCATTATACTGCTGGGCTGAGTTAAATGCTTAGAAGCAGACTCTCCTGTTTAGTCCCGACTCAAGTGTAATGCTCACTTCTACAAAGTGTGAAAGCTCCGTGCTAAGTGACTAATTTTTGAGCCAACCATCAGTCAGCACCACATCTCAGGAAAAACACACAAAGTTACAAGACTATGAACCCTTTAATCCAACTTAATACTGGTTCTGAACAATAGTTATTATGGCAGTAGGATTACAATTACAATATTAAAGTGATATTGCTTCAAAAAAATTCCAATATCTAATCTGCAATATAGTCAAGCAGGCATTACTGTGCAATAGACAACTTCTGAATATTCTGAGGCTGTGACCTTAAGACTGTAGAATTCACACCCTTTTTTTTTTTCTATGACGTTTACAGAAAGAAATACATGGTTTTATAGGAAACTGTCAATGTTTCATTTAACTACCTATCATATTATCTAAGGGATTCAAGGTTTAACTTGCATAACTATCCCAAAGTACCTTGCAGGAATTCAGAATAGTGTCCCGTTCAGTGCAAAATCCAGAAGATAAAAATGATAATACAAAGAAATATGTTAATTTTTCACTTGAAGCCCACACAATTTCCACTCACTACCACTACGCTTACACACTGTTCAATCTTACTGCTTCACAAGGTTACTTTAGGTGTTCCTGGAATTTCCAGAATAGAACACTGTGAAAGGCTTATCTTCTGCATGACATATACAATGAAATATCATACTTCCATTTAAAAATCTGTGCAAAAAATAAAATTTGTATTCTTAACTCTGCTAACACAGAGACAGCTCTAAAATACCTAACCAAAAGATATTTAGCATGTATCAGTTCTAAGATAGTAGAACTATTCTTCATGTGCTTGCACAACACACTCAGAAAAGTAAAAGTATTTCAAGCTAAGCACGTGGGTTTTGCATGTTGTAAGGTAAGAGCTGAATTACCTCACCTCAGGAACAGAAAGGCCCAAAAAGGCCAAGTGTTATTACACCACCAGGAGCCTCTGACCATGCAATTCCTTCTGAAGCACACTGGGTAGGCACTGCTGAGTGACTAAGTTCAATCCACTGAACATAATTACAAAGGGCAAATATTACTCTATCACTTTTGCACAATTAACTATTTTGCAGTTACAGTACTACTGTCCATTTGTGTTCCTATTCCTGTGTACAGATTTCATTTCACACGTACTTATGATTTTAATTTTTTCATAGAGCAGAGCAGCTTATAGCCAAATTAGGAATGCAAAATTTAGCAGATGGCAGTGTGTAACTATGTACTACTAATACCCACAAACAGAACTCTTCTGTTTTCTACTCAGAAGTAAATTACTAACTCACAACGTTGGCCAACAAATTCTACTGCATCCAGGTAAGATTTAAGGTCCTTTAAGAACGGTCAATTAACTGCAATGAAGTGATCTCAAGGAAAGCACAAGGCCATTATGAACATTTCAGAGGTCACAGTTACTTCTTGAGATAACATGCAATATGGTAGCGTGGTGAAGTGTGTGAAGCCAAAAACACAGTATGATTTTTTACCTCCAGGCATATAACAATATTTCTATATTTATACTTACTCGCCAAAACAGAAATCTTCTACATGTTGAATAGTTCTGTCCTTCTTGCTAAGAGAAATAGCTTCTTCATTCTCAAGGATCAGTTTTCTCCAGTCTTCACATTCATCACTGGTATCTGTCTTTTGCTTATAAAGAACAATTATAAAATGACATTTTGTACTGTGCTAGGTGCTCTTGAACTACAAATCTCTAATCTCAAATAATTTCTTGTACCATCTTGTATTAAAAAAAACCCAACTGAATAATCGTAACTGTCTTGATGTTTTTCCTATTCAGGTTGTTTGAGTTAAACCAGTTAGAGCTGGTTATTTTATGACAGCATGCCAACATCTGTGCACTACTACCTCTAGTAATCTGAAAATACCATATTAAATGAAGTACAAGTTTCAGTAGGGAGTTGAATATAACTTGAATACAACCTACTAAGACAGGTTTGCCACAGCCAGGTGAGTTCCAAATTTTGTGTCAAAACTCTTTGAATGGAGAATACAGGGAAAAAAAATACAGTGATTTGGGTATTAATCTGCCCACACAGGAATCTCTAAATCTTGCAACTGAACCCTGAGAAGATGAAGTTCTGACACTGAGCAACTCCACCAAATATGCCAGAAGGTAGTGGCATAAAAAAGGCCTAAGACCCACCTGAAAAGGTTCAGTTCTCTATAGACCAACAGGCTCATAACACTTCAGAAAACAGTACAAACATCCATTTGCTAATGCAGTCCAAGTGCTCAATCTCCTAAATAAATATCCTCTTCAGAAGATTTCTAGTGGACTGTCATGATTTAAATAAACCTCAGTCACTGAAAAATGCACTAACAACATGAATCTTTTTGTCCTGGTCACAGGACACCTCCATGGAAGGACCTAACAACTACCTTTCTCCCAGTTAAGAAGAATCAGCTGAAAACACACAAGAAAAACAAAAGGGACTGAAACATCAGAGAGTAGAAAACAAACAGGAAATGGAAAAGACCAGATTATCATTTACAGAAGGTACTGGGAAAGGAACAGAAACAACAGTGTATTTGCTTCTACACAAATTCAAGAACCCAAAAAGTACGACTGAGCACTGGACTGTTTGGTCCCAGACAATAACATGAATAAACCAGGCACATCAGAGTCTCAGGATGTTAGGCCAGATGGGTAAGTCTTAACCAGTAAAGCTGGAAACTAGAAATCTCTTTGATCTGTCAAATTACCAAAGAGAAAGAACATTGTGGTAATTTACCTTGTAATAAATGATGCAAACAACCAAGATTTAATGTTAAGGAATGTTAAAAGTAGTAATTTGGGAATTTTTTACCTGATTTTCTTTAATCCAGGATAATAATCCTGAAAAACTAAAGCTGGCCCAGTTTCCACCATAGTAATTTCGTCTGTAAAGAAAAATAGACAGATAAGACATAGCTTGCCCAGGTTTAAAGAAAAAACAACCAAGTTTGAGACATTTGAAATATTTCCCATGACAGATTTTACAGATGCAGACTGTTAAGATGCTCTGGCAAAATTTTTACTGAACTGCATATACTGTAGGTGGAGCCAAAGGAACTGATTTGGACAAAATGATCCTACCTCCCCGAGTACTTTCAGCTTGTATTTACCACTTTTTTTTTCCTGAAAAATATTATTTAATTCCTTTAAATCACAGAAAATTAAAAGTTCTGCTGGTAATCAAAAGAAGTTTCTACTCTCCTTTTTTTTTTTTTACTTTTTTCTATTAATATTTCTCTAAACATCAGTTAGACTAATTAGCTTTTGTTATCACCCATATAACATCGTAAATATTTAACAGCTCTAGAAAAAAAAAAAAATAAAAAAGCAATTCCATTTTAAGAAATCATTAGTTCTTGCAAAATAAAAAAGTCATTTCAGGATTTAACTCTGTTTTCTGGCACTTCAGAAGTGTGAATGATGCCAAAAATACCTGCCTGAACGGAGAGCTCCTGTTCCTGCACGCAAAAGAAACCAACAAAACCATTTTGGGAGGAAGATGGGATTTGCATTTCGCAGAGTTCAATCAAATGAACTTAAAATCTTATCATAACCTCCTCCACTGTTAAACTGTGGAGATAAGTGTGATAAAAGTGAAAAATTAAATTCAGGTTTGATTCTGCTGTTGAAGATGGGATTTTTTTTGACAAGGCTTATCTGCGCTGACAAAGATTTCATTACGAGTGTCAGCCCCTTCACAGCACCAGAGGGTGATGCTCTAGACCATGGTGCTTACTTAGCATATGAAGGACAGATGTCTGCTGAACAAGGTCTAATTGCTCCTGACTAGAAACTGACCTAAAAAAGTCTTTCAGCTACTGGAGGGCGACAGCGAAGAACATAAATAGGACATCTTCTGCAAAGACAACAAAATCCAGCGTTCACTGAACAAAGGTGCCTTCAACAAGAGAACGTCGTGTTTGGGGCTATGCTGGGATGACTGGGTCTATAGAACACACGTAGTCTACTCTGCAGTGTGGTTACTCCAACCAGGAGGGCTCCATCTGCAGATCTGTTACCAACCCCAAACTCCCGTCCTTGGCACAAAGGAGCTCGTACCTCCCTCATTCTGTGAGTGAAGTGGGTGAGGCTTAGTACAGCTACTCAGAATCAGAATACAAAGCAATGAGGATTAAATAAATATATTGCATGCCTCATTCTGCTAGATTTCAGTCTGCAAACCACTGACACCTGCGTGCAATGACAATCTCCTGCTCTGTTTCAGTTGTCAATGGAGGAGGTTAATTCCTCCCTGCTTCTTCAGATTCCGCTGAAGAAAAAAGTCACTATCCATATATTAGCTGCCACTTCTGGGATTTCCAAAAAACACAGCCATAAAGATTTATTTTTAAGGGAGTCTGCTGCTTTAGCTGCAAGTTTCCTTGAATATGGAAAACAATCTGGCTGTCAGAGCAAGCAAGGCCACTGATCACAGAAACCACAGAAAACACCTGCTTAAAATTAGGGCTGGGTTTCTTGAACCTGTGCCGATATAAATTCATTACAGTATTTAAAACTAAAGCTTTCAGTAAGAGAAATCAATGTGATTTTCACAGAAAGTTACAAAGGTTTATTTGTGATCCATCAGAGACCTTTGATGTAAACATTCCTCTGTTCATCAGGTGCATTCTCCTTTGAAACTGCTTCTCCTTTTAGCCAGCACTGCTGTGAATCAATCCTTTCAACAACGCGCTCAGAAACGCTGCTCTGAAGAGCAGTCACTGCTGAGAAGCCTGTGTGGCCTTTCTCAGATGGAAAATGAACTGCAGCTGTCCTTCCTCTCCTCTGGCATCTGACCACCTCTCGCAATGTTATGCTTTATCACCTCAAATATTAATCTTCTCTTGATGCATCAACCTCCAGATTTTTTTTTCCCCCTAGTATTTTAATTAGTTTACCCCACATTAAATGATGAATCAGCATCGCTTAATTTTCCCAGCTGAAAACATGACAGAAAGAAGGTAGACCAAATCTGATTACTGATATAATGAGCAAAGTTTTTAGTAAAAACCTTGAAAAGGAATTCTGAAAAAAGCTGACTAATGGTTTTACAATTAGGAGTCCTTTGTAACCAAATATTTTTGTTATAATTGCCCTGAAGATGAACCGAGGAATTCCTTAAAGTAATGGTCAAGATCAAAGCCTAATTAAATCTAAAATATTGTCCCAAAATCTCAAGGACTAAGCTCCTCTCTTCTCTTCCTCTATTAGCAAACTACAAAGATGGATATTCTCTCCCTTTTTTAGGGCTATAATTCAATTATCCTCTAAGTAAGAACATGAAATAATTTGAAGGTGTAACAGCAGCATTAGAAATTAATTTTCCTACCACGTTAGAGCACAGACGTTTTCTTTTTCTAGCATACATTATTTCCTAGATGTTATTTGCTCTAAACCTCTCCTGTAGTATCTGGATTTTCACATGAATTGAAGTACTGCTGCTTTTAGTTCTTATTTTTCAGATCTTAAATCTGTGGTTCAGATCTAATGGCAGCCTGCTGAAGCTATTTTTGCAAATTTTTGGAAACATAGCCCAAGCCAGTTTTACTCCTGCAAAAATTTAATTCCCTCTCCTCATACATCAGTTTGTGATTTTTTTCTCAGTTATTAGCACCATTCTTTCTTCAAATACTTTGAAAGAACTAGCAAATCCCAGTCCAGAACACTGCAACAGTGAATTGTTTCCAACTAATTAATATTCTTGGAAACTGAACCAAGCAAATATCTAACGTTCTTTTGAAGACAGGCTGCAATTGGAGTAATTGAACACTTTTGCAAGCATGAGATACACGAGTAAAACATCAGTAAGAACAGAAAAATATTCCATGGACTACGCCTGTTACGAAGACTGCCCTGCTCAGTGCCACATCTTAACAGCCATGGTGCAACAGTCAAAGCTGGTGACGTCTGAAGAAAAGCTGCTGATGCCTCATGATTGCTCCCCAGAGCTGCCTGGACGTGTCTGTCCTGCACTTAATCTTCCAGAAAGAAGTCTCCAATCATCAGAGTAGCTGTCTTTTGCAAATGGAGTTCCTGCCACATTGATTTTAAGGATCTGAACACAAAATTACTCATGTTTCAAACTCATAAAGTTTCATGTGCTACCCATTAAGTACACAGGCACACGTATTAAAAACTCCTGTTCTGACATAGCAATTGTGTTGAGGAGCATGAGAAGTGGACTACAGTTCCTTGTCTTCCAAGGAGAAAGGCTTCACCCAAACAGCTCTTGAGATCCTTCATCCCAATAAAAGGGTGACTGTGGCAGTCACTTGTGCTGCAATACATCATATATCCTGGTATATGAAGATGACCCAAGGTAATTCTCATGGACCAGCTGAGACCATGTTTTACTCTCTAATACCTTTGCTATGAGATCATATCCTAAAAAAATATTTTTTTTAAAAAAAAACCTTATTTACAAGATGGCAAAATAGATCAGATTTAAGCCTTTTTTTGCCAAGGTTTCCTTACCCAAAGTTAAATAATTCCTTTACTTTTCTCAGCCTGCTTTGAGTAGCAGCCTTTTCCACTCTCTGTTTGCTGTCCCTACACAGCTACCTCACTCCACTGAAGTTAAAGATCAAAACAAAGGCTATATATCTGTAGACAGCTCGCATTACATTATATATTTTACAGGTTCTGACAAAAGTGAGACAGATTGTCTAGCAAAAAGCAGAACAAACTACAAAAGGGGTATTCTTGAGGGGGGAAGCACAGGAAGGGTGTCCAGCGTGCTTTTGGATGCTCAGAGAGAACAGAATTTTGGTCAAAAAGTAAAAAAATAAAATAGGAAAGGTAACAAGTGTCAAGAAGCAAGACATGAGAAGTATACAGAACAAAGCAGTCACAAAAGAGGTGTTAAAAATCCTGCATCTAGACACTCCTTTGAATCAAATTTTACAAGGAAAGATAAATAAGCCAAGGAAATATGGTGCAGACAATAAAGGTACAGTCTACAAATGCCATATTCTAGATGCTGAAAACCAAATACAAAATGTGGTTAAACATACCTGAGCTCTCACTGCCCCAGCCTCAGTAACCAAACGAGTACACAACTATATAGGTATCTAATTACACAAAGCAAATGAGTGAAGGGCTAAAAGTGGAAAACATAGCAAGCCATCAGGAGGAAGTCCTGTGCATATGAGCAATTAGTATGGGAAGCAAATTCACTCCAAGTAAATCAACTTTTAGTCTTGATCTACCTTTCTGCAGCAACTTCCAGTTTAAACTAAGTGCCAATCTCCACATTTTAAATTGCAAATTACTTTTCTAAATCACTTAACAAATATCCTTGAAATTTCACATGTCAACAGCTCATTAATATCTACAGTAAATGTAGCTCTCTGAAAAGAACCACAGATTTTATGTTTATTGAGACAGATAGCTGGCATGGAGAAATAGAGCTCCTTCAATTACTATTTGGCAGAAGCTAACTTGAGTTTAAAATCAGTCTACAGGAATTTATGGCAAGGCTGCAGTGAAGTGACTATTTTGAATAAGATTAGCTACTGTTGATGGCGATGCTTGGACAGTGTTTATAAATCAAACTTAGAACTTAGTATTTTATAATAGGCCACTTCAAAACTATCTTCCATAATCACCTATGCAGTATATTATGATAAATGCAAACATGGCTGGAGATTAAAAGTAATAAAATGATGTACACAGGGGAATGAGTGCAAGGAAACTATGAACAAAAACTTTATCTGCATATGCTTTCTGTACCTTGTGCCTAACTTAACTCAGACCTTTGCAGGGAACAAAGGATTAAATGAAGGAGCACACCTAACACAAGCAGGTATTTCAATAACCCCAAATATTATCTTCTTACACTCTGAAAAAAAAAATTAAACTCATGGCACTTCAAAGAAGGGAACAACATATGTTGTTAAAAAGTGATATTCTGAATATAAACAATTTTTTTGTTGATGGATTTTCAATTATACTGTTATATAAATAAAACAACACTTGAAGATTTATCTAGAAATGAGAATATTAAAAGCATTTTAGTTTTATCTACTATATGCCTAGTTTAAGTCAGATAAATCTGGCAAGCTTTCTAAGACTTACCTTTCCACTTAAAATTCAAATGGCATCAGGGTGGGGGGCTTCTGCTGGCTTTGGTAGGCTTTTCTTGCAAGAGTACTAACTTAAACACAAAAAGCAGATGGCTTGAAATGCTTCCCTATTATGGGGAAGCAGTTGTACAGTACAAACATTTCTCTGGGTTTTCTGTGCCAAGATATGGATTCTAGACCACGACTCAGTGAGCACATACACCAATTAAAATGGCACTATTAATAGGAGTGAAGAACACCTTGGTAAAGAACACCCTCCCCTGACCTTAGCCTGCACCAGAGCTGGAAAATAACTCCCTAGGAGGAAGGAATCAGAAGTGGAAGCCTGCATTTCCATCGTAAAAACAAAAGCATGTGTGAATGTAAATGAGCATATATAAGTGAAAACAGTAATAAACAAAATCTGTATTTCACAGTTCTAATTGCCTGCTTCTGGGAGTTTTCTGAAAGGCTCTTCATGATAGCTAAAAATAGGCACAGATAAATCAAAGTTCCACTGGCTAACCATTACTACAGACTTTGAGAGCCAATGAATACAAAAAAATTGAAATAACACAAGTGGTTCATTTAACAAACCCTAAGTAGTCTACTGGTAATATATGCATTAAACTTAAATGGAAGCTTAACTATTTTATTCATTCTGTATCTGCTTATTCTAAAATAAGGTTTTTAATAGTTTGGTTAGTAATCCAATAGCTAATTTGAGAACTACTTTACCAAAATTTTTGACATGAATATTCTTACACATTATGATGAGCTCTTTATAGTAACTTCAGTATCACCAATATGTAGTAGTATATTTCTTTCAAATTATTACAATCTTCAGAGTTGTCTGTCTTTCAACAGAATCATGAGTTAAATTAAATATGGAGCACTAAGTATTGCCTTGCTGTGTACTATCCCACTGTGATGCCAAATCCTGCAGTATCAGCCCACTCAAGGACTTTTTTCCTTACAGTGTCTAGTTTTCCATAGGTTCTGAGAGTAGTCCATACTACCTCACGATTCATGAAGATGAGTTCTTAGTTCAAACAACCTAAGTTTTCCTAAAAACTAGTGTGCATCATAGTGTACTGATTACATAGTTTATATTTTAAAAAAAAAATTGGCTAATTGATGAAGAGAAGTAAAATGAAACGTTAATCTCTTGAAAGGATGCAATGAAATATGCTACTCCCAGTGCCTCAGCAAATCCTGTTTCAAAGAGCAACAGAAGTGCTTTGTACATCAACTGATCTCAGTGGTATTCTGTATTCTTCCTACAAACAGATTTAGCAGGGGGTAGAGAGAAGACAGCAAAACAGAGAAGAATGCTGGGTTCATCTCCTGCCCTCCTGGCCACATTTTCACTTGTCTTCAGTCTGATAAAAATTAAAATGCAAAAATACTCCTATCGACTTCTCCAGGCACTGAGGACTGACACAAATGAGATACTTGGAGAATGTTTTGTCATGAAATGGTAACGGCCCAGGTACAAGTTCTCACAAAAGAATGGCATAATTACTGCCAGGAATGATAAGAAGGGCACTCTATCTGCAGCCATTCCTGCCTAGAGAAAAGCAGGAGCCTCGGCTGCACCACTTTTGTTACAGACAGCTACAATCAGAAACTGCCTCTTCTACTGATGGAAATAGCACCCCAAAAAATAAAGTGGGTATAGACACGTAGGATTACTTAACACCAGATGAAGAGGCAGGAGAAGTCCTGGAGGGCACAGTGACACAGGCACACACACACCTTCTAGCCAGCTGAACTCTTAAAGAGGAAAAACCATTGGAGTGACTTACGCATCAACGTGAAGAACTCTCTGGCCAATCCTGGCACATCCTGCTGCAATAATAGATTCAGGCAAACCTGAAAGGACACACAAATTTTAAAACTTAGTATGGCAAGATATATTAAAAGATGAAATTAAGTTAGGACTTGTTCAGAAACAGGCAATTCAACGAGAAGAAAGTTTACAATGTACATGACTAAAATTTTTAATACCCTCATTCTACTGAGATAATGAACACTGTATTGTGTTCATTGACATTTTACTATCATCCTCTTCAATGCAATCCTTATTTTTAAATTTTTAAAATAATTGTATGGCACACATCACTGGCAGACACTACCACCTCCAAGTTAAAGCTTGTCACCAGTGTCTTCTGCAGACACCTTACTACCATAAACAGATTGAGCACTTGCCAGCCTAACAATACCCAAATTTTAATGGGTGGCTCTGTATTGTATCCCTGCTGATAGGGACAGGTATTGTCTGGAGGCATTTTTGCTCACTTCAAAGTGTCTCACAATGTGAAGACTGTGTAACAACCTGTTAAACGGTGTTTTAAAATTAAGAAGTTTATGGCAAATGGTGCATTTGCCTTGGTATGCTGTCTGAGGGTGTGCCAAGTGTGAGGGCACAGACCTCTTGGGATGGCATTCAACAGCTCTGCATGGCAGACAGAGGGTATGGCTCTCCTTACAAGGGTCTCCCTAGCAAAATCTCCCACATCACGCAACTGCATCCTCTCAAATCAGCATGTTTTGACTAACTTTAGAAAAGATAAGCAGTAAAGAAACAAACCATAAGGCTGGTGGTATTTCTCTGCCTGCCTGGAACAGCACAGGATCACAACTGGGAGTTTAATAAACGAATGAGGCTATTCTCAACCTCTGCTCCCACTCACCAGATTTCTGCATGCACAGTTAGAGGACTTGGATTTCTGATTAGATCCAGAAAAGCAGCAGAGCTCGCTACCTAAAAAGCTGTATGGCACTAGCTTTGCCAAAATCCCCTTTTGAATGATCTATTGGCTGTTTAAGCAGGTAATTCAGTAAAAGCAATTAAAATTCCAAGGTACTGGTACTAGGAGACATTCAGGCTGCGTATTCAATTAAGAGATGAGATTAAACAAAGTGACAGGAGGGCTCCATTGGTCTGATTTACAGTGCAGTGCCAGAAGCAGCTCTATGAGTACAACAGAGAGGTGGCAAAGCCCATGAGGTAGGGCACAAACTAGTTCAGCTACCATCACACCAAACATCATCTTCATGAGAACCACAGGCCTGCAGTTCTGTTTCTTCAGAGAGAATGCTGCCTTCACAGAGGAATGAAAGCACAGCAGGTTCCCAGTCTGAGCATTCACTGAAAACACATTATGCAGTATGTGAAAGGTTGCTGGACAACTACTTAGGACTTGTAAAGTAAAGGTTTATTCAAGTAAGTAAGAAGCTGTTAGACTTTAATGGTATATTAACACAATTTAGTATTCACAGGAACAGAGACAAATGATTTGAAATGCTTGAGCTAGTCTTTATTAACTCTAGGACCTGAAGTGCTGTCTAGAAAACACCTGGTGGGACTCAGATTCATAAGACCATGGTTCCAAGAACATTCAAACCTCTCTACCCTTCTCTTCAGACACTCCTGACCTCCTTCCACATGAAGGAGACAGCGAGTTTTTGGCAGACCAGTTCCATGGTAGTGTTGCAATCTGAAAGTATGAATGTTTGTATCAACACAAGGAGGGAGGTTTAACACAGGCATGACGAGTTTTCCAGGAAAATAACTACAACTTCCTGAAATTTTTTTGTTTACTATTATTACACTTACTATTTTTATGAATTAAAAAAAGAAAATCCCTTCCTAAGCTGATAAAACAGGAAAAGTTACAATAGTTTTGCACTGCTGACCTTCCACAGCAAGTGAAGGCTTATCATGGAATCAGTCTCTGGAGGCAGAGGGAGGGATGAACAATTGCACCAGCTCCTGGGGCATTTGTTCTGCAGCCTAGAAAGGCAGACAGTCTTTAGAGTTGAGTTTTTTTGAATTAACAACCCAAAACACAGGTCATTCTGACCTGGAGGAGACACGTAAGTGCAGCACACACTTCAGGACCACCACAAGACCCTGGATGCACAAAGCCTTATCACATGAAAGCAACTGCAGCAGACAGTGCTTGCCCATTACACGTTTCATTCCTCTCTGTCTATAAACTATCTGGAATAGAATCTACAACCACTGTTGTTTGTAGCTCCTGAAAAAGGTTTTCTTTCCTTCATTTGGGAGCAGGGAATATTACTCTAGAAATGGAATTGAAAAACTTGTTTCTCCTTCCTTATTGATAAAAGCCACTGGGAAAGTGTTGTAAAACATCACCAGTGCTGCCTGGCTGACCAGCACTGGAGTTATAGCTACTAGGGCATAACTGATTGCTTTTAGCTTGATCCAATTGATACTGTGTTGGAGGTCTGTTCTTCCATTAACCTTGGATGAAATTGTTCCCTGAATTAGCTTCCTGGCTTTTGAAAGCTGGCATCAATTTTCTTCCCCAAACCTTTGCCTGTAAGTTGCCGTAGCCCCCCGAGTGCCCGCTGGCAGCAGAATGAGGGAGCAGAGCAAGGCAAGGCCCATGCATCTGAGCTTCTGGAGAGGCTCCTGGAACAACAGGATGGAGCAAGACACCATTTATTTTTATGTGACAAAACCTTGGTAAACTAAAGAAATAAGTCTGTGCTTTGGCATCAGTTTCTGAACTCTCTTCTCCAACAGAAATAAAAGCACACAGAAAACAGGTACCTGTGTCAAACCCAAGCTACTCCTGCATCTGATCTGGTAAACACATGGTAATAATGTAGTAATAGATAGTCCCTCTCTACCCAAAACAAAAATAACCAACTTGGAAAAGCCTCCTTAGAGAAATGGTAGAGATTTATTTAACGACAGCACATGAATTTGATCTATCTCCTACAGGATGCTCACACAGTTGTGCAAAACAGGTCCCTTGTTCTGTTTAAGTAACAGAGAGATATATTCTCTTTACATATTGTTCCTATTTGGAAACAGTTTCCTATTCTGAACTCTATTTGTCAGAAAACTCTACGCTGGATTATATTCCAGTTTTGCAAGATGCTCAGATCCTAGCTACAGGGCAGGGCAGACTCCAGGACCTCTCCCTCACAGCTTGCTTTGAAGATAATGATTTATTACAGTTTTCAAGTGATTGCAGGGGAAAGGCTATATCCCCAATATTGATTCTAAAGTTTCACTTATGCCCTGTGAGTAAATAAAGTGGGATATCTCTAAGCTGTTCTTCACACAAAGGATTTCTTTAACACTTCCTGCCACTCTTGGGATGAGTCAGCTCCTGGGTTTGCCAGCTTAAGGGATGAAGGATGTGGCCTGGAACCTGTGTCACTCATGATGTTTAATGTTTTTGAACAAGCAGCTGAGTAATGATTTGGATCCAATAGCTTGCACCAAAGAACAGCAAGGCCTAAATGAGAATGTACATTTCCTTTTAGATCATTAAAAAAAAAATTCTAAGTTGGTACTGCTATCAAAATCAGTAACCAAGGTACTGAATCTTCAAGAGATCTCCCCTCTGGTATCATGAATAGTAACCCTGCTTTCCTACTAAGCTATTATGTGCTTCAGCTACTGTGAAGCACAGCACACATCTCATCTTACTGTATGCAAAGTGGAAAGGGCTACTGTAAAAGAATATATTCTCAAATAAGGTTCCAAATCCAGACAAGTTTTAGATTTACAGTTGTATTAGCAGGAAATAGGAAGTCAGAACAGGAACCATATGATCCAGCCACAAGAAAACAGCAACAGATCCAGACTTGAGTACATTACCAACATCTGGCAGTGTAAAAGGGATTTACGTAGAGGAATAAGGAGCCCATACAATCCTATCAATTTAATATGCTGACTCAAAAGTTCTTGGTATTTGAGGCAGAATCAAATCAGAAATAGCAGTGCTTGTTATCAAGAAGTACAAACATTTTCTGTGCTTCCTGGCCCCCTCATATCCCCCCTTTAGAATGCTTACACAGGAATTATCTGCATTATGTTCAACAGTCCTGCCCCTCATCTCTCTTACCAGGAAGAAGAAAGAGGAAGAGTTTGCCTTAATGAAGGAGGCCTGATTAGTACCAGTTGAAATCTGTATCATCAGTCCTTAAAGACATTGCCTTTTTCCTCCACATACTAAGCTCCATTTTTCAGATGCAGGTTTAGGTAAATTGGCCTCTCTGGCTGACTCAAGGAAACACTGATTTAAAATTTCAATAAATTTCATTGCATCTGCAGATAGATATAAAAGTAAGTATGAAATTGGAGATGTTGCTCAGTAGTGATCTCTGGGTAGATCACTTGGGAAGACACTGAAAAAAGTGATTAGACAAGCAGATTAAACTGTAAGAAGCTGGCTCTAAGGAGAGGAACAAGGAGGGTGGCACATCCCACTGCAGCCTGCAGGGAGTGGGAGCAGTCCCACAAACTTCTCTGTTTGCCCAGCTCTGCAGAACGTGGTGGAAGCTGCTGCAAGAGGCTCCAGGAGTACCTGGGACAGGCTGCAGCACCAGGATGGAGTAACCCAGGAGCAGATCATATGAACACCAGGTTCAGGACAACCTTCTGAAGACCAGCACCGTTCACTTTCCCCAGCAGCAGTCCCCACTGCCTGGTGCCCAAGCACGATCTCTCAGATCCCTCCTGGATACAGAGCAGGCAAATTCATCTCAATAAATCTTCCAGATGGGGCTGCTGCAAGCTGACCTTGAAGTCTACATATGGTTGTTCCCAGCAACCTCTGACCAAGATAATCTCCTTTACATGAATTTTTGGACCTTCCTTACGAAGCCAAATCACACTTCCAATTTCACAATTAATGTGTTTTACAAGAAAATTAGGGGAATAGCTACACATTATATACAGTTATCAAGATACCAAGTCTACTTTTAGTTTCACCACAGCAGATCTAAAATTAGAGATAACAGCAAAGATAGAAAACTCGAAAAACTAGAAACTCCAGAATTCTAATGTTGATTCTTCCTGATTTTTTTCTTGGGCTTCAGTGTTTCCACTTGGGAAAATAAAAACACTCACATAGTTTATGAGGTTTTGCTAAAATGACTATATTTCTTCTAAGAACCAACTGATTTTAAAAGCTTTGTGAAATATGAAGTTGTAATTCATCTCTGTGTAATCAACAATTAATTTTAGGCATACACATCGTGCCTCCTGATTAGCAGCTATCTATTAATGCTGTAATGATGCACGGCCTCTTCAGGTGACTTTGACTGGACACATTCCCTGCCCCAAAGAACTCATGAATTAAACACCTTCACGTGTGGGGAAGCACCTTGGTTCCCAAGCTGTTCACCATAAGCTATTTCCCAGTCATCCAGCTGATCAACTTTTATTGAATTACACAGGATTCATCCTGAAAAGGTTTAAATGTTTCATTTGCTTCACTGTATCGACTGAGTAAATCACAAGTGGCTTTTTCAGAATAAAAAAAATGTTGAAGGGAAATATTTTAAAAATGCTGGAACATAGACAATTTCAAAACAATATTCTGGAGTCAGACTGTTGACCAATGGCAATAAATTTTGTTTCTACCTGAAATACTAAGAGAAAGAAGAGCAGCTGCCTCTGGAGGAGCTCACTGCACAATCTTCATAGTATGCTTTTGGTATATGTTGAACTCAAAAGGCATTTTATCACTTAATTGCAAACCAAAGTTGAAATATTTACTGGATGTAATATTTTCAGTTAAAGCTAGCTAATTAAAGTAGATAGACACTTACATAAAAATCATGTCACTGGATGAGTCTCGTTGCTTAAATACAGTAAAACTTTTCCAAAGACAGTTCACTCATGGAGTGACTGGATCAAGGCAGGAGATTAAAAAATTAGTTCCCAATTTGGCAGCCCACTTCTGGAACTACAGGTGAGAGCAGCTGACTTCAAGGGAAGGAGTTCTGTTTACTGGAAAGGAACAACAACTTTACCTTTCACAATTAGAGGGCTACCCTCTAGTAGAAGAGTGATTTCCAAAGAAATATCAAACGTGTGTGTACTTTTATAGAAACAAACATTACCTATAGAAGTAACAGGTAAAATCCAGAAGATTCTTTGTGCTTTAAAGTAAAAATAAAATTGTATTGAATAAAGAGGGTTTATAAATGCTTTGGTTGGCTCTAGAGCAATGTTACAAAGAAACAAGTTCCTATGGAAGGATTGAATTAAAAGCTCTACCAGCATTCCCCAAGCAATGGAATGACATCTTCTGCTGGGGACAGGCAAACCTGTCTTCTCATTACTCCTGATTCAGACTAGAATTTCAAAGGACCTAAGATGTTTTCCAAAGTAGTTTTTCACCATGATATGCAGATGACCTACTGTGTATTTTTCACAGTAGGGTCACAGAAGTACTACAGTCTCTCATTTTTTTAAGATCAGCAACATCTGGAAAACCTGAAGAACACTAACAGGCTGGGAAAGGCAACAGAAGATTCACAAACTAATGAGTTTTCTTACAAGAGCAGCGAGGGGCATTTCACAGCATCTGGGAAAGAATTCTACTCAAGATCTCAGTGGGAGCCCAAGCCTCCAAAAAGGCTATCACAGCACCTCTGCTCCACAAAAAAAAAAATCAGAACAGGAGGCATGTTAGAAAAGAACCTCACCATTTTAGTCATGTTAAAAGAAAGCTAAAGGTACATTTATGTTTGGAGAACACTGAAAAAATAAAGTAAAAGGGGGCTGGGAGAAAAGTGTGAGTCAGTGTTCATTTTGTTTGACATTTACATGGACTGCTCATGACTTATTTACAAATGGTAATAAAAATATGGGCCCATTTCCTCTCTCCAGACATCAACATTACAAGCCAGTGGCACTGTCCTAGTCCATAACAACCATCCCCAACTGCCCATCTTCAGCTGGTTTTCCATCTAGCTTATGCTGCAAACCTCTGAACAGCTGCTGATGCAAACTGAAGACTCTGTAGCACTTATACAGGACAATGGAACCAAAATATCAGCCCAGAAGATCATCAGAAAAGATTTTAAGCACATGCTAAAAACATCCTGCAACAATAAAAACATGAGTTTGGGGTTTTTCAGATCAATTTTTTTAAATAAAATCAATCTTTAATGTTAACTTCATAATTCACAGCTATAATATTTAGGTTAGTTTTTCATGCTCTCTTTTAAAAATCATATTGGTATCTGGAAGTGATTTTTCCTAACACTATACTTACATAAGATAAACATAAAGTACTTACACCACTCCCAGCATATCGAACAATAAATAATAGATTCCCCTGACAGGACTTTGATGACCTGGCAAAGCCCGAGTGCTTTCAGCCAAAATCATATGAAACCATAAATCACCCTTTATTTTATAGAATATTTCAAAATGGATTCCTGCTTTCTACCTTGAAAGTCATTTCATGTGTTATTTATAACCACTGAAAACCAGAATGGAAAGAAAATTGCATAGAACTAGAAAATTTACTGTGACTGCTTTTATAAAGAACACCTCCTTTTTGGAAAAAAAATTACAATTACTGGCACACAAATTTCTGAATACCTTCTGAAGAGCCATGCTGGGTATTTCTCAACTTCACCAGCAGTTAATACAAG